TGTCCCAGAGCCTGGAGAGGCGGCAGCCCCCATGCCGCACTGCAGTGGGAATGTTTCTGTGCAGAGGACAGGGGGAGTTCCCTGGCCCAGGACTACTTACATGTTTGTCAGCTTAAAACTTAAAAAATTAACTCCTATATATAATGGGCACCCCGACTTTGATCGTGAAAAAAGTGCGCATTATACTCGACATTTTACGGTAAGATAGCAATAGAAAAATATTGTAATTCTAAGGCATGTTCACCTTCCATTCTGAGCTCAGTAAACTTTGCCTGTCTTTCTAAGTGGCCTCCTGGAATGTAAATAAAAAATTGAGAATCAGGAAAAATGAATGGAAAGGTCAACCCTTTTCCTGCTTTCATTCACAGCTCTCCTTGGAATTCAGGGGCATTGTGGATAAATGAGGTGAGTAAGACTGAGACGTGGACATTTAACTGCAGGCTTGCTAAATGTCAGATTCCCGTAATGCAAGGGTACAAAGCCTGTCACCCTTAGAAAGACTACAGGACAGATTCTCAGTTGGTGTAAATCTGATATAACTTCATTAAAGTTAATGGGGCTGAATCGATTCACATCAGATCTGGTCCAAGTTTTCTGGCTGAAGAAAAAAAATGTATAATTAACAACACTCATCTCATTCGAATAAATGGGTTGTGCCCATGAAAACTCATGGTACGATACATATTTTTGTTAGTCTCTAAGGGTATGTCCACACTTGCTCCCTCTTTTGAGAGAGGGATGCAAATGAAGACATTTGAAATTGCAAATGAAGCCAGGATTTAAATATCCTGTGCTTCATTTGCATATTTGCGTTATGGCGCTATTTTGAAATGGCAGTATTTTGAAATAACAGCCGCTGTTAAGACGCGGTTATTTTGAGAGAAAACCCTTCTCTCAAAATAACCCTTATTCCTCATACAAGCCCATATAATGGACAATTATAGTATAAAATGCTGGTAACAGAAGATTCTTCCTAAATCCCATCATTTAGTTGCTGACACATATCCTGAAACTTGTGGTTATATGTAACTCTGTAAATTGCAAATATATATACTGAACCAAGGATATTTTCATATAAATCCATATAAATGTCCAGTCATTTTTTAGTCCTGCTAAGCTCTTGGACTTATGATGCTACGTGGCAGTGAGTTGAGTGTATTAATGATGCATTATTTTAAAAATAATGCCTCGGTCCATTTTAGATTTGATGCCTTTCAAATTCATTTTATACTCCTCTCCCTCCTAAGTGTGCAAATTGCAATGAGCTTCCCCGCTGATTTGCTGAGTCACTGGTGGGCACGGTTTGGAAGAGGTGAAGGGGACTGGAAAATGGAACAAACGTGCGGATGGAACACGTGCCGGTCTGTATCTTCAGGGGAGGCAGAGCCGTGTGGTCGCCGCTTTTGGCTGCATTAATGTTTGTGGAACCACTAGACTATGTGAGTTCGCCTCATATCTTTGAATACACCTGATATTACAATAAGTTGGTTCCTCAGTAAGGATGTAAAATCCTGTTTTAACCAGTTAAAACTTGGGTTTAATCAGTTAATCGATTCAGTGGGAGAGGGAGAGGACTGCTGCAGCCCACCGAGAGCAGCCCCCACCTCATGGGGCCACCTCCATCCTCTCCCCCACCCATGTGGGGCTGCGGCTGGCCCCCTCAGCTCCAGCTGCCACCTCCTCTGGCCCTGCAGTGGGCCCTTCAGGGCTGGCGGATCTGGGGAGCTGCTCCTAAGTGCTGGTTAACCAGCGCCTGATAAGGTTAACAGGTTACCCGTTCACATCCCTATTCCTCAGCAATACACTAAAGTTTAAAGAGAGGAGAATACTTAACTGCACTGACGCCACTAAGCTGGATGGAAGCCGTCAGGACGATCAATAAACATAGCTGATATCGCATAGACCGGTCTTTTATGAGGCCCAGGATACTCATGGGTTTGTTTTTTTTCATTGTAGCCTGCTCCTTCACCATGTCGTCAATAGCTCCTTGATGATTCCCTTCCCCCCAAAGCTGCCTCAAAGCTGTAAAGGAAAAAAATCTCAAAATTATTCGGCAACGAACAGGTGAACTTCTTAAATTTGCTCCTTGATCTGCTTTTGTCAGCCTCCTGGTCCTTTAACAACCCATCAGTGGATTCATTGGGTTCTCCATGCGTGGCCATGGATCAGTTAGTGAAAATCCTCTCTCCTTCTAGGTGCCAAAAGAGTCCAGATCTTTTGAATTTGGGTTAGAAGAAGAGAAGAAGGGAGAAGAGAATGGTAGATCTGTGACATGAACCCAACTGGGTTAGGCTATGTAATGTTTTCTGTTAAAAGCATTTTCGGAACAGAGCGTCTAGATTGGCACAGACGCTTTTCCGCAAAAGCACTTTTTGCGGAAAAGCATTTGTGCCAATCTAGACACGCTTTTCCACAAAAAAGCCCCAATCGCCATTTTCGCAATCGGGGATTTTTTGCGGAAAACAAATCTGAGCTGTCTACACTGGCCCTTTTGCGCAAAAGTTTTGCGCAAAAGGACTTTTGCCCGAGTGGGAGCAGCATAGTATTTCCGCAAGAAGCACTGACAATCTTACATGAGATTGTCAGTGCTTTTGTGGAAATTCAAGCAGCCAGTGTAGACAGCTGGCAAGTTTTTCCGGAAAAGCGGCTGATTTTCCGGAAAAACTGGCCAGTCTAGACACAGCCAAGGGGTGGAAAGAGATGCAAAAAATGCTTACTAGGAGGATCAATCTAATTAATTTAAAATTAAGATGAAGGATTCTTCCTTACGGTGAGGGTTACACACACCTTCTTTTATCTCCTTGCTGTGTATTATACACCAGTCAAACACAGTCCCACTCAAAGGGGCCAAAATGAGAAATTATGTGTAAGGATATATAATTTATATGTCAGGAAGTAGAATAAAAGCAACAATGAATCTAGATGCACTTTAATGACTAACAAATTTATTAGGGCATAAGCTTTTGTAAGATCCAGCATACTTCCTCAGATGCTTATAACAACAGAAAGGCAAGGATACAGAGATGGGAGTGCAACATTAGTGCTAATTCAGTCTGGGTGGATGTGGCTCACCTCCAATAGTGATGAAAAGATGAGAATACTTGAAGGGGAAATTATTTGTCATGAGGGAGCCATTCTGTGTCTTTATTCAGGCCCTTTTTGACAGTATCAAGTGTGCATATGAATTCCAGCTCAGCGGTTTCCCCTTGAAGGTTTTTGAAAGTTTTTGTTTGTTTGTTTTCCCCTAAGAATGGCAACTTGCTAATTAGAAACTGTGTGTCCAGGCAGGTTAAAGGGCTTCCCTCCGATGTTTGAATGTTACTAATGCTGACATCTGATTTGTGTCCATTTATTCTTTTGCATAGAGACAGTCTGGTTTGTCCAATGTCCGTGGCAGGGGGGTAATGCTGGCACATGATGACATGTATCATATTAGCAGATGTGCAGGTGAGCAAGCCCTTGATGGCATAGCTGATGTGGTTAGGTCCTGGGATTGCGTCACTATGGTAGATGTGTAGGCAGAGTTGGCAACAGGGTTTATTATAGGGCTTAGTTCCTGGGTTAGTGTTTCTGTTGTGGGGTGTGATGTTGGTGATAAGTATTTATTTCAGGTTATCTCACTTGCTGTACCACTATCTTCCATGTGTCTCTTTTGGCATTTGTTTTTTCTAATTTTCGTCATCATTCACTATTGAATTAGTGTTTCCCACTGTGGGCTATATTATAATTTTCCCACATTTAATCCATTTTTACTACGCTCCTTCTCTCCCTCTAGCTACTTTGTTTAACAATATCTGTTCTGCTTCCTTTCACAGCCTTCACACTGCTGGTGTAACAGCCCTTTCCCTTCCATTTCCTGCTTGCTGAACCTGTCTTCTTTTACTTCTTTGCCTCTTTCATTTGCCTTTATATCATGTTATTTTTAAAATTGTTGGTTGGCTGTGCCTGTTTGTTTCTCTCTTCTTCTTTCATTGGTTTAACTTATCTAGTGTCTATTGGGATAGTATTTTGGGATACTTTTATTATGAAAGACTATACAAAATAAAAGTGTTTAATTTGAAATAAATTAATTCATTCCTCAGTCTTAACAGAGGTGAAAGGACACGGGTGCACTTTAGTGTGTAACTCTGGCAGGAGCTGGCTGCAGCAAAAGCCCGTAGGGAGCTATTTAAAGAGCTGGCAGGGACCTGGGTTGTTACAGGAGAGTACCTGTAAGAAATGTTAAATTACTTTCACCACCACTAGTCATAGTTACTATCCATTGATTGTGCTGTGAAGTGTTATTATTGGTTAGCTGTTCAGGATGATGCATATTAGGCCTTCCCAACAAAATTTAAAAAAATTCCGCAGCTGAGAAAACACACAGAAATCATATTTCTGTTCAGTAATAAGATGCCATTCTTTCACTTTTCTGAGTATAACCACAACTCAGTATAGCCTTAATGTTAATGTTGCATGATTTATATATCAGAGTAAAGAATTAGAGGTCACTAATTTTAACAGTCATGTTAACCCCCTCTGAAACTTGTATTTGAACTCTCCTGACAACAGAATGACAATTGATAGTGTACACATGGTATTTTGTGACTTCAAAATACATATAGGATTTTTTCCCAAAATTCCAGCTTGAGTAAATGCATAGAAGGAGCTAGAAAAAAGTGAGAGATAAGACTGTCCATGTTACCTTTCTGGCAGCTTTCCATATCTCCCTTTTGCATCAGGAGGTAGGGTGGAGACTCAGGGAAAAATGGAAGCATGACCAACTGCACCAGTGCTACGGTTCCACTGACTGACATCAGTAAAGGCCACAAGGATTCCGTTCCGAAAAGTTCTCTAGAGAGCATAGGGTTAAAACAAGAATCCAAACAGTTCTGGGAACCTTACCAAATATATTTGAGTGATATATGGGGTGACTGAGTTAAAGTATACGGGATAACAATGGATAGATAAAGAATGAATAGAAACCCCTCTCCACCACCAGCCCCAGGAATGTAGATGTGAAGCTTAATACATTTATTTTACCTTAGTCCTACAATTTGGCCTGTGCATTTCCCCATGATTAAAAAAAGAGTGAGAGTGGCACTTGTAAATCCACGCAGCTTCTTAGGGGAAATTTCTCCCACATACTGGCCATGTAAACAGCAACCCAAACCTTGAATGGGGAAGAGACAAAGGACAAAGTTGTTTAAAAGAGGGGGAATGGAACTGGAGTCCCACAGAAATTAGTGGCTTCGCCATTAATGTCAATGGAAGTAGGTTTAGTTCTGTGTATCACAAACTAATGTGAAAAGGAGAATTGTTCTGGCTGAGTGGAAAATAAGAAAGGTCAAAATTCATTTTTACAAATTAAAAAATAGAGTGAATTCTGGATTACTCTTTAAAAAATAACAAATGTAACTGATATTGTTCCTATACTCTGGCTGTATCTAGACTACATCCTTTTCTTGAAAAAGGGATGTAAATTAGACACTTTGAAATTGCAAATGAAGCCGGGATTTAAATTTCCTGTGCTCCCTTTGCATAATGGAGGTTTTTCATTTTGCATAATGAAGGTTTTTTCGAAAAGGGTCTTTTCGAAAGAAAAACAGCTGTTTAGATGGGGGTCTTTCGACAAAAAACCCCTTTTCGAAAGATCCTGTAAACCTAATTTTTTAAGGAGTACAGGATCTTTTCAAAAAGGGTTTTATTTTAGAAAGAACCCCGTCTAAACTGCCATTTTTCTTTTGAAAAGCCCCTTTTCGAAAAAAACCCTGCGGCCGCCATTATGCAAATGAAGTGTGAGAAATTTAAATCATGGCTTCATTTGCAATTTTGAAGTGTCTAATTTACATCCCTTTTTCGAGGAAAGGGATGTAATCTAGACATAGCCAGAGTGTAGTCAGACTAAAGCATAATTTTGATAAACATAGGGAGAGATAAAGGATAAAAGAGGCAAAACTTTTCAATCTGGGCATGATACTAGCTATATGAAGTGAACCTTTTATTTATATATTTGGCATTGTATTTATTTATTATTTGCAAGCCTGCAATATTTTAGTAGTCAGTTTTATTATCTGTTTTTTTAAAGTTCACCCTTCCAGGGTGTTTTCCCTTAGCCTGGAATATTATTATGTGGAAAAGTAGTCTTAAGCAGTCAAACACATTCTCTCATTTCTCTCTCTTAACTCCTTCATCCCACATTCCTTGGGTTATCGTCTCTTTTCTTTCACCCTATAACAATTTACGGACCCCTTTCATTTGGACACTTAGGAATGTTTATCCTGCCTCTGCTTTACAGCCATGCAAAATCCAGGGAAATCCCGCATGATTATTATACAATTAAAAATGAAGCACAACCTACCTGAATTAAACCCGCAAAGGAAACGTCCAATCAAAATAATCTCAAAGGATTTTGCCATCTTACTGAAGCCCCAGAGTAATGCAGCTGCTATCAGAACCAGGTTATTGTATATTAGACATTTCTTTCTGTAACAGCACATAAAAGACGTTCACAAAACAGGTAACACCACCGCTCTTGCTTTCCCCTAATGCCTTCTGTTTTTTATCTTCTGAACATGCAGATAGTGGTGATTTTATCACTGAATTCAGAATTTGCAAGGGGGACCTAATAGTTGCTTATTCTGTGCTGCTGAGACATTACTTAAATTGATACTCAAAGTTAGTGCCTCCCTCTCCCAAACTTCCTGTAATTTAGTGTTTCTTAAACTGTGTTCCGCGGCACAGCAGTGTGCCGTGAGGTAGTTGGAGGTGTGCCAAGGAGAACAACAGAATTCAAAATGGCTGCCTTTATAGGGGCAGGAGACCTTTTTTTTCTCGATAACTTTTTTTTTTTTGGCTCAACAAAAAATCCTTGATGTTCCTCACAAAATAAATTATTGTTTGGGGTTCCTCGGTCTTAAAAAGTTTAAGAAACACTGGTCTAATGCCTGCAAAGGGGAAAGCATCCCAGCAAAATCAGAAAGCATTCCTACTGAAGTCAGAGCTTATTCCCCTGGCTCATGCATATTTAATCAGCTTGCGAAGGAGGAAGGCTTGGGATGATTTCCCCCTCCCTGTTTTGCATGTATTATTCTCTTGGTATTATCCAATTGTCAGAAATAGCTCACCACCCTCAAAAATGCTCTAAAATTGAACAGTGCTATGAGGATGTATATCAGAAAATCTGTCTCATGGGGTGAAAAGTGCCTGGGGACCGTACCACTGGATGAAAGTAAAGATTTTTATACTAGAAACTCTGAGACTCATTCATCCTAGTCATCTTGAATTTGAGAACTCATTTTTTTTCTTCTAAAATGGCATGGTAATAGTCTATACTACTTCCAAAGACAGTGATGAAATTCCACCAGAGTCATCCATAGCTCTACTCTTCCTAAAAAAACATATGTGTATGATTGCTATATTCTGATCATATTGCATCATGACGTCATGGTCAAGGCTGATTTCATGTGAAATAAATGTGCTGTGATAGCAAGTTTGTGATCAGTGACATCCAGGACCAGGAGATAATCAGAGTGTACTGATGTCACACAACCTCCATCAATAAATTAGGGGCCTCCAAGCCCTCTTGCCTTCTAGGAATTTTAATTTTTCAGGGTGCCTCTATTTTTCCTTTTACTGCTTATGTTTTTATATATTTTGGAGTCCCCATATCTTATTCCTGTGTATATATTTAAAAAACAAACAAACAAACCCTGGACAAATCCAAGGAATTTTGTCCTTTTATAAATGTGTTTCTTTTAAAAGTAATTTACGTCTTGCATAAATTTCAAGCTACATTTGTAGTTGTTTGTTTTCCTACGGTGGAAAAGATGAAAAATGAAGTAGTGCGTGGAACTTACATTTCATTGCAGAGCTGGCTCTCTGCAGCTTTGAGACTGGGTTGTTCCCATCTTGGGTTTTTGCAGGCCCCCAGGACCAACATGAGTCATTGCCAACTAGAGCTCAAAAATTTGTCTTTCCCATCTGTATAAGTTGGTCCAATAAAAGATAGTGCCTCACCCAATATGTCTCTCTAACTGTTGGTAAGTCATTTCTCCTTGGAGATTTCATAAATATGCATTTTATTTTCTAAATCCTTCTTAGTTTAGAGCTTTCCTCCCTAGAAACGTAACAACTTCTATTGAGTCAAATCCATTATTGGATATTATGTTTTCTGGTCATATGAGTATAGTGCTCATAAAAGAGATTATATCTGGTGATTATAATAGGTAGTATCCTGTTTATCTACTGAACACACACATATGCCAGTTGCGGTGCAAATTTCTCTACCCTATTCCATTAATGTATCTGCACCATGTTTAGGAGGGACCAAAAAGTCACTTTATCTCCATTTTAATTCA